AATATGCTATTTAGTATGACACGTCAAAACTTGTTTGAAAAATGGATTTTGTGTTAACGAAAATCCGCTGAAGGTAGGTATGAGACTTCACGCTGTTTTTGAGAAAAAAGGCGATTTTTTTATGTTTTACGCCAGAGAACTCAGTAGTGACGGTTTTTTGACTCTAATTGGCCTACCGGGGGAAGTAGAGGACGTAAACAAATATACAAAGACCGCAACAGACTTTCGTTTTCGTGTGTCACGTCGTGTGAGCAGGATGTCAAAGCGTGTGTAGAAACTGGCAGCCACGTGGAGTCGTTAGTTAATATTTTTCAAGTTTAGCCACGTCATAACCTAAAGAGTCACCAACAGTAGAACAGCGCCCAGCATGTAACAGGATGGATCAGAACGGTTCAAAAGCAGGCAGTAAGACGTATTTATTCGTTGTACACTAAAATTTACTATTACGTGCCCTCTGAAGACTATTCAAAGGCGACATTTGCCAATGCGCATAATAAGAAGAAGGATGCAACAATCGATCTCTGTCAAGAAAGTGATATGACCAAGCCGTGTTTAAGTGTAAGTCTGTTTAGAGAACGTTTTTCTTATTTTGTCAGGAGTATACTGATCGAGGAATTTCATTTTTGAGAAGAATTTGTAATGGGTCTTTTTTAGACCAACATCCGAAGTCGGTTCACGGGCCATGTGTGGAAAGAACTTTCCCCGGGAATGTACCAGGTTGACAACAACTTTCAGAAACTGTCGACACCTGATGGCTTGTATAGGCATCAAATCAGGAGAGCACTTGGTCTGGCGGAGATCATAAATAGCACTGTGAGGTCTCAACCTATTCGCAGATCGGGTTCCTGAACAGGTGTCTTGACAATAACGTGTTGCCGAAGAGTGTTAGATACAAATCCCTGCTGAACACGGAGGCGGCGAGACTCGCAATGTTTCAACACTGCAAGAGAATTATCCGTTTGTTCATTCAAGATTGCCACGCGAGGCTACGCAAATACCGCCAGATAATTGACCGGGAGAAGTCCAAATGATGTGAGTTCATGGGCGAAGACAGCACAAAACTGCTTCAGCAGAGGGTGCTTGAACAAGTCCGCGAAAAACAAGCAATTCATGAAGCGGCACTGCAGAACAAATTCTGCAAACTGCAGAATCAAACTTCATCTAGAAACGACATACTGGTACACAACCTGTCGTCGAAAGAACTGACGAAGGAGTAAATACAGGTTCTACAGAACGAAGCCCCATTAAACACGGCCAATGCAAAACCTACCAACATGAACTTCGTGAAGCCAAATAGCGCTGTGTTTGTTAACATCGTAAGGGATACTTGTGAATAAAACGACACTAACCAATGTCGAAGAAACCATAATGGTCTTGAACAGGAGGCATGATAGCGATTTAGCTTACGACTATAATCGAAGTTTTTACACCACAGTCAACCTCTATCCGCCTGTGGGCTGCAAAGCATGCTCATTCTAGCTAACAGTGTGAACCCCAACCACGCAGAAAATCTCGTTGCACTAATTGAAAGAGGTCGGGACAAACCCAGAAAATACTATTCGACGCAGGAAAAGGTTGATTTTGAGCTCAGAGATATCATAGACCAGTTCACCACTGACAATCAGGTAGTTTCTATGCCAGCTCCACTTACAACAGTCTGTTTTACACGCAAAAGAACAATCAAAACAGTACTTCTACTAGGTTGCATTCGTTATCATTTGTTGTAATCTCCTTTTTGCTCTACCGTAAGTTATATTAGGCTTTAAATAATTCACCAGTCACAAAATCCTTGTTTTAGGATTCAATAATTTTTGATCAGATAAACTGTGAAAAATAGTAATTCATAAACTATACCCCACCTTATTGAAGCACGGTCGATTCTCTAGGGTAGTACAATTTGCTGGATACAGGGTGTGCGCGGTCTGTGCCTTACAAACGTTCTTGTGAGAATTTTGTGACCCTTCTTCTGGTACGTCACGAAAAGACCGGGTAAGCTTTAACAGAACCCGTCAGTATACTTCGAGGCGCCGACATTCTGCATATGATGACAACCACCGGTTTTGCCTGTACGGTACATGTTCAAGTGACACTTGCACAGATGAAAGGACTTCACCGGAGGCCTGCGTTCAAGCAAGCAGATAAAAGACAATGGGAGGCCCTCTAGACTGAATTCTGTTGAGCCGACCTAAGTAGACGGCCAGCTAATTTAAACAACAAATGGGTAGTACAAATCAGGCTCTTGAACCCAAAAGGCTACAGGAGACCATCGCGAATAAACTATCGGAGGGAGTTTTGAGGACCCACCCGTGTTCACAATTCCCAAGAAACTTCGTTAAAAAAGGTCCGACTACAACATTACGATCGATGTTACGGCGTCCACAGGAACTCAGCGATACTGCTCTCCACCTGATACCGTTACCCAAATGGAGACTTCGAAGAGGGGATCAGCTCGAAACCTGGCTAGACTCAGTCCGTCAGGGAGTGGAAGCGGTTCTTGGGCCTCCGGTAGTCGGCCTCCGGCGTTAACGAAGGTAATGGATTGAACTATCTACGTCTGCTGCCACGGATCGTCACGCGTGGATAAGTACAATGCGCGACATCATGGTGTTGTAGTGCCATCCAGTTTTTCGATTTTACGATGCTCTGATAATCTTGCCAGTAAATCTGTTAGCATAATTTTAATTGCCGGAGAGAGAGAGAGAGAGAGAGCCCAGGTGACTCACAGTGTGATTAAAGCATGTGTAGACTTAAATGGCTATCAAGCGGACTCACGTACAAGCTAAACTGACCTCTGACAAATACTGTTACTTCCGAGCTAGGTCACGAACAAACAAAAACAGGTTTTAAAATAGATGATGACGAAGCAAAAGCTGTGTTTCCGACAGCTGTCCTCGAGGATAGCTTCCGTGCAGCAAAGGATAACAACTAAGACTGCAATGTACATTGCCTATACTCCTGCATCAGTTACTTTCCGCAATCATCTCAGGGATATGCACGCGTTTAAGCAGGAAATCGTTTTTTTCTTGGTAAGGTAGTCCGACGTTATAGTAAGTCAGTGTATTATGTTCAACTTCATTTCAGGGACAACCACCCTCTTATCCAAAGACTGCTTTATGACTGGTAATGCTGTAGCTACAAGGTGAATGAAAAAAGTAAAAACCCAAAGCATAGCCAGTGCACATATTAAAGCATATGAACAAGCTAATTCTTTTATCAATCAAAGCAAGCGCCGAGTTAATGGGCGACGGGCAACAAAACATCAACCCAAAGTCTGGAGGGCAATTCCCTACATAAAAGGATTCTCCGAAGCAGTGTCTCGACTGTTATAATCCGCTGGAGTAGGCATAGTCCATCGACCTCAGGCGATAATACGCCGTCGAATGATGCCACCTAAGGACTGACTGCCCCCTACTGAAACCTTCGTATTTGCCTACAAAATACGTTGCAACCGTGGAGACTGCAATTACGTTGAAGAAACAGGGCGCAAATTGCAGACACGCCTACACTAACACAAAGCGGCGGCCCGGAGACTTGACCCAAACTCACAGCTCGCAACACATACCGGAGAGACTGGCCACAACTTCTATATTCTAGGGGCGACAATCTTAGGCCGCGAACCTCAAAAGCGGAAAGACTGACGCTTGAGGAATGGTACTCAGACGCCAACTCCGTCAATATGCATCTGGACCTTCCCGCGGCCTACAAAGTCCTACGTCATTACGTAAGTAAAGGACAGGACCAGGTCAAACCGAACTTAGTATTTGCAAACAGGACGGCCCCGTGACGAAACCACAGGAAAAGGGAACAGGATTACCAGCATACTCTACCGTGAGGACGAAACACAACACTAACTGCCATCAGGTTATGCCGAAATCCACGCGGAGGGCCAAGCAGCGAACGTGGTAAAATCGAGCAGCCCATGGCCAACACATACAGCCACAACTTTGAATTGCTCATAGATAAAGTCATTTCACGCTTTGATAAAGAACAGCTGGCCCGTCTGTCCAAAACGTCAGCGGGCAAAGAAACACGTTCCTGTGAGCAAAAACGATCTATGATTCTAATCCCGGAACTCCGACTTTTGCAAACTTGAGCAACATTTAGTCTCTTGTTATGTAATAATTTCCTAGGAGTAGATTTTTTGACCTAGACGTGTGTGTGCACTGTTAGAGAGCGGGCTGCGTGTTGTTAAAGTGCCTTGAAGCATTTACGGAGGACAAATTCTACACTAATTTCAGAGCAGCTGTCTGTTGGGGTCAGTCAGCTACAACTTGCAGCTTAATAGGGTAGTGGAGCAGAACACTAGAATACGTAAGAGTGGGTGAGAGTAGGCGCGGGCTTGGCATAACAGTGAAAATGCACATTTAACGACAACTCCCGATGCGAGAAAGGTAAGAATTGGTTTAAAAAAAAATAGCAAAGCAGGAGCCTTGGCAACTGAAGAGCTCATGATGTTGCTTAATACCCCAAGCATCAGGTGAACTGAGGCTACGGTTACTGCGGAATAAAAGTATGCCGAGTAGGCGGCAAACGAGCTCACCTTGTCAGGATCAATTTTTTCAACACACGCCGCGAAAGACGAGTTCGCCTCTTCCACCTGCTTGGCCATAGACTGACCCAGGTTGGCACAGGTGCGTAGGAGGGTTTTGTTGCCTGCGGCGCGCTGGGAATCCAGGGACTCCAGCTCGGAAATCACGTTGTAGATATGATGAGCATAGAAGTGGCGTTGGAAAGAGTTGTATTTGGTCATATCAGCAGCATATGTCTGTTGACTGTCCTTGAAGGCCTTGACTTTGCCGTTATAGGCCGATTCGGACTGCATAAGGCAAAAGAAAGGGAGTGAGCCGGTGTTCTGTTCAATTAGAGGTAAGTGAGCAGCATAAAAGCCAACGCTCTGTACACTAGAGGATAAATTCAGAAAACCAAACACTGACAAATGTTTGTGGCGGAGGACGTGTTAGGAAATTAGACCCATACGACTTTAAATATGACCCAAGGGGAGGGCGGTTGGAGTACCAACGGGGTTAGAAGTTGAAAGGTGGATAAGGAAGGCCACGTCATTGAAATTTCTTCAAAAACCCTCGAGAAATTCTCCAGCCAGGGAAAAAGGCAGTGGATTTCAGATAGGCACAACTTTCAGCCTCCCGTTTTATTTGCATGCATTGTAAACAGTGCAAAATGACAGCGTTGGCCCAGTCGAGAACAAGACGGGTCGCAGGCCTTGGTAATCAAATGATAAAATCTTTTGGCGAAAGTAAAATAAACCCCGAGGCACCCTAGATAAACCCTTCTGATACGAGTGCCAACGAGAAAAGAAAACGATTCAGTAACAGTCAAATTCGATGTCACACAGACAGTTGTACCGTCTCCCGTCTACTGTGAGGTCTAAGGCCTAGGTAAGTGCGAAGAAGGAACACAGGTTGGGAAGGCGGACGTAAACATCTTACCAGCCCGTCAAAATAGATTTAATATTTTTATCCGAGATTCGAACTCCCGAGCCTGGGTGGTGAAACAAACGCTTGCTTGGGTGACTACTCTGAGTCTTAGAAAATTCTTAGTGACGGCAAAGGGCTAAAGAGCACTGATGACCAGCGAAAAACACGAAACAACCATCTGTATTGACAGTCCTTGCACACAGGGACTGAGCAGTGATGAATATCGAAAGCCACTTGAAGTGGACTGGAGGGCTACTCCGACACCCTGGCGGAGCGCGCATTCGGCGGGTTTCAGATTGCGACATAGACCTAACAAACGTAGCGTTTAAAGGGCATTTCCACCAGCTATGGGATCTAAAGTACAGTGTGAAGTTGGAAGTTCTAATTATGGCAAAAGCCTACGAAACGGAAAGATTACAGCGCGCGACTGTGCAAGGCAGTGGCCTTGACGCATTTTTTTGCCTGCGCCGGAGCCGTGCACTAGTGTTGAAAAAAGTACATCTTGGAATATAGAGTGGTTAACACTGCTGTGCTTGATAGGGAATAAAACACATTGTTAAATACATTCAGTGACCAATCTCACTAAATTTTAACGGCGATCCTAAAGTGTGCTTTCGATTTGAAAGGGCTGTCTAAGTGGGGTTACAGCAGATACTTTCGTGCAACGTAATCTCTAAATACTTCAGTCACACTGGGATGTCGGTCTTTGAATGCACTTATTTTTGGCCGCCTGCAAAAACCCCACACGCGAAAAGAATGACTTCTTATGCATTGTGAATTTTCCCACCGATTTTCAATATCCGAGAAGGCGGGTTACCCGTTAGCCTATCTGATGGCTACCCGGCGCGTCCACAGGTGGCGGATAGTGCAAGGACCTTCAGTGAAAGTTAGCTGTGAAATAAGCAGACTCTCGGGTCTGGCGAATAAGCGATCGCGGACCAGCAACGGCAGTGCTACCAGGGCGCAGTGGGCTGAGGTCTGGTAAGTCAAAAGCCTATAACTTGTCGCAAAGCCTGATGACGGCATCGTGACATGGCGAGCGCAAACAGCCACTAAATAAGTTTGCTTGCCCCCGCTGCCTTGCTGTTAGACTATTGAAGCAAAGCGCTAGAGGAGACAACCCCAAACAAACAATCCGAGTGGCTGTTAGGGACCCGTCTGTACTCACAATTCCCAAGACACCTAATGCCTCACCCTTAAATATTTTTTACATGACGAATGCCAAAATTTTTTATCTTGCTCTAATTTGAATCAAATAGATTTTTTCAAACGTTTTATTTCCAAAAACGGGTATTTTCCAGGTACAAAAACCTTTTTTTCAGTTCTCGATTAAATCTGAACCTAATCAGTGTTTGCATTCTTATTTAGAGTTTGCAGTCTACAATTACAACATTTTTGAAACCGAGGGACACTCCCCTTTTCGACTATACAATTTACGAGAAGATATGATTGGCTAGCAATTGTGTACAAGAAAGTATATTGTTGACCCTGTTTTCCATAAAAAATATAGTTGAATTAACGAGAGCTTCGAAAATCATTAGAAAAACGTGCACTTTACGTAAGTATTCATTTTTTTGCCCAGTGCCGGTGGTCGAAATGAAGGGAATTCAAAAATGCGGCATACTGGCGTGACTTAAATACCTTGGGATTATGCTGCGCCACAATCAGCAGTCCTTCGTTATTGAGAACGCTTCTGAGAACATGTCATGAGATGGGGCACTGACCGTATATACGTGCACGCTAATTAATCTGGTGTGATTTATTTTGATGGGGAAAAAGAGGAATGAGAGGTGCTACCTTTTTCAATTCTTCACGCGATAGGGTCATATCTTGCTGAGCCTGTGTGTTAAGCTGCTGGTACTTCTGCTTCTCCTTCAAGGCGAGTACATGCGCCTTCCAGGTGTCATCAAGTTTTCGGCGTTCATGTTCCCGTTTGCTTAGCAGTTTGGCATAGTCAGCGCTTACTTTGTCTATCTGCTTCTTATCCTTTTCTATGGCCTTTTTCATGGGCTCTATGACCGACTTGAGAAGATCATTGGCGTACTGCTCAAATGCGGCGCCAGTATCCTGCAGGGGTTTGAGCGACTCCAGAAGACACGCATTATAGGTTAATTCATCGCTGCTCTTGCTTTTGGGATTGAAGTTGGAGACTAGTTTCCGGTAACGCTTGGAAAAATCAAGCACGGTTTTCTGCACCTCCGACAGAAAGCGCAAATACTGATCGTTCAGAGAGGACTGGTCGGTCTCATGGCGGAGGAGAGTTTCTGTTTGATCCTAGAAAACAACAGGTCTTTTAATAGTACATGGGGAATAACACAACAAATAGGAGGTCAGCAAAGCACGTCTGGGTAAAAAATGCGGTATAATGAACACAACAGAGAAGAAGTCCTACTACCAGCATTAGGAACGGAGAAGGGGAAAAAAGACAAAATTTTAGGAGCTCAGTCCTGATATTTCGTCAAACAATAAGGTTCAGCACAAGCAAGGGCGTATGATGGGCGCATCTCCGACATTCGGTGATGTTCTCGTGATCTCTACGATATTCTCCTTGTGTGACCCCTAGGATATTGATAAAAACCGCGATGGGCTCCTCCTGACATACTTTAAACAGTTTCAGCAGCAGGCCATCCGATTCGCATATACTCTACCTCCCTCCCCCCCCTTCATGGGCGACAGTTTTTCTCCTTAAAATCCCTCAAATGGCATTCAAACCCCTAGAATTCTGAACACTGCCTGAGGAGTTTTTTTACTGTCTTCTCCTTTTACGCAGTTCCACTGCTGGCAACGCCACATGTCCTGCATTTCATAGCTGCTCTGTACCAAGAGGGAGTTCAAAGGTATTTACCTATATTTCCCTTGATAAACCTGAGCTGACCACGGCAAAGGATAATATGATGAAGTCAAATTCCACAAAGACAGCTATCCATCGCAAAAATAGTTCTACGTACGCTACGCAGCAAGCCAACAACATACACATTGACCAGCCTCCATTGTGTCTGGGTTGCAAGGGCACCCAGAACATCCGTTCTCAAGCTAGTATGTACGCCACCGATCACGCCAGCGGCAATGCATAGTTCTCAGCGGAACACCCCTAAACCGTCACTAGCCATGACCAGCTTCGGGTCAAATGGCAGCTTTTTAGACTAGTGCATGCTAAGATACACAGTTAAGAAGGCAGTGCTGACTAGTTATGATCCTGATCGACCACATACTTTTTTTCTGAATGCAGTCAAAAGGAAGAAACATAGGGCTGAATTACAATAAACGTCAAGCTAAACCACTTTCGTATGGTAAGGCTTTGATTATGGCTAACCTATCCCACTTGAGTAAAGTTTCCGATAGCGCTCTTCCATGTATGACAACTAGCAGTAACAGCAGTGGTGATCTCGACCCATTAAATTCCTCGGAGGTGAAGATCAAATAGCATGGGCCCAAGAACAGATAACATATATTGAGGAAAAGAGTTAAGATATGTTTTGAGCTAATCTCCGTTTCGTTAGAGGTGAGGTGGAGGGGTTGAATTTAGGGAGCGCGAAATAAATAGTATACTAAAGCAGACTTTAACGCACTTCTGGGATTGTCCGTAATATTCTCGCGAGCTCCGCATAATAAACGCTTACCACATTGTTCAGGAAGTTTGTATCTTAGCTGGAGCATTGCTTCCGGGGAAGGATGGGAAAACGGCCGATTTTCGCGCACCCACCGAGCGCAGAACCTTGGATGTGTATTCGCAAAATAAAACCGGCTGGATGGATACTTGGTTCAAAATGCTTTGCGGCAAGTGCTATTACGCCAACAGCTAATAGAGGCCTTGGAAGTCTTGTAAGGACGACGTGACCAACACCGATTGAGGGCATTGGAGTCGTTTTTGTTCTGCTTGTTGGTAAATCATCTCTATACGATATTTCAGGCTGTTTACCCCTCCAGGGAACGTTTGGACACCCCAAAATCCATTAAAAGTCGTCTGTACCCGAATCAATTGTTTAGCTTGCTTTATACTGAACCGCATCACTTGACCCGTTGCAGTGCACGACCACAGCCATTGACGCCACTGGAAGGATTTTAACAAAATTGACTGATATTTATTCTAGTAGATCGCTCGAAAATTTTCGATACAACCGGCTTATATGAACGGCTTGCCGTATTTACCCAAAGATACTTTGCGTAGTGTTTTGATGTACTGGATCCAAGCCGCAAGGTAGCGTTGCCAAGAGAACTGGTTTATTGTTCTAATATCGCAATGTAGTGATGTTACTATTTAACTTTGCACGTCTTAATAACAGAGTAAAAACGGGCACGGCCCCAGCCCCTTACTTTGTTAACAGTTAACGGTGGTTTGTGGTTATGCGGTAAGCAGAAATATAAAGTTATTTATTTTGTACGTATCTTAGAATTACGTTACTTAACTAACCACAGCCTGAGCATGAGGCGGGTATGTAAACGAAAACAAGTGGAATCGTCCTTCCAAGGACCGCAGAATCAGGAGTGTTGAGCGTTGGATTTTACCACGTCTACTCACATCTACCGTTAATCAATTCGAAGTCTTAAATAGCCAGAAACGGATTTATTAGAGACAACTTATAAAACTTCGACTGCAGATCAACGCAACATATTAGCCACTAGACTTAGTTATGGTGTAAGGGATGCATCTGACTGTACGACTGACCAACTAAACAATCTTTCATTGAAAAAGCATTTAGATAATATGAAACAAAAACATATACCGAGTACGCACTGTTTGCAGAGAACTTTAAAGCCAAGAAGATGCATTAATGCACGTAGAATTATCTAAAGGCAGCTACATATTTCAGTCTTGTCTTCGGATAGAGAATATAGCAAGTTCAGAATTTTCGAGAGGACAGAGCAAATTTCGCGCGGACGATCGTTAATTCGGCTGAACGTCCTAATGGCAATGCTCCGGAACCAAAGGATAGAATGGTTCCAGTGGGACCAAAGTGTAGCCTTTGG